GACCAAACAAAACAGTGAACACGGATGATGAGCTATTCTAAATAGAGTGTGGGCAACAACAGACTGACTTCAACCTCTATCTATCACAACTTTGTTTACGCCTCAATTTTGAATGTTACCGCTCATATCTGACCAGAATCTCATCAGTGGCTTCACTATGGAGCTATTTCGCCTTGTTTAACTGATCCAGAAACCTACCTGAGGAAAGGTGATTTAACACACAGATTGTCCTCTCTGTAATGAGACATGGTGACAAAACGATGTAAATGAATTCATATGAAGCTACGTCTTTATCGCACTGATTTGATGCTGCCTTTGCGTATTTGCTTCCCCTTGCCAGGTGGATATGTTTGCCTGTCTTATGGGGCACCGCTGTGTAAACTGGGTGCAAAACAAATAAAAGCTGTCATGTCCAAGTTTAACTAGAAATGAAAACATCTCTTTACAGAGCGACTATAAGAATGGTCAAAGAGACATGGTTGATTCCTGGAGCCTCCATCACCCCTTTGGTATTGTACTGGTCAGCTGCACTCAGGCAAAATGTCAGTAACTCTACAGTGAAGTAAAATCAATCAGCATGATTGAAAGTGATGGGAAAACAGGGTCACAGTGACAGCTTCTTCATCTTAGGTTATTCTGGCAACAGCAAGAAGATTCAATTCATTGAAACTGCCGTTTGGTCGGGGTACTGTTTAATTGGAATATTTCTGAACCATGAGAGTGCATTTTTGGAATAAGTGGTCACAGTGGCTTTGATCACCTGACCCAGTATGGGTTATTTATTAGGGCTGGAACGATTTGCTTATCTCCTGATTCAATACTATCATGATACTTGGTTCGATATTACGATTTATTGCAACTTCTGTTTGCTTTTTTAACACTAGACCATGGGAAAAAATTAATCACACACTTCTAGACTGTATGTCATGAGTAATATTTCCAAAAACCAATGCATGTCATAGGTCAGCTAGAGACAGCTTTTTGGCGAGTAAAGAAATGTGGTTTGATGCTGAACTCACGTTTCTTCTAGACTGGTAACATCTAATGTTGGCTATTTACAGAAATGTATCTAATGACAACACAAAACATACAAAAAAACATTCCACATGGCGTCAATATATGGCTTTGATATGGCTGTTTTCTTGCTACTATGGTCTTGCTCAAACTGAGCTAAACAAGCTATCATGTAAACTATAGGCCAACGCCACACCTCAAGATTATAAGATAGCAGTTTTATTTTGACTGGCTTTCAGTTTTACCAGTTTGGTCGAATTTTACCCTGCTGGAATCTAGTAGTCACATAACTGATGAGATTGTATGGACCCAGTAGCAGACCAATGGTGATCCGTTCACCATACTGTAACCACTTGGCAATACTGCTGGGGGTATTTCAAGTGAAAATACTATTCAGCTAAATGAATAAATGTAAATGTAAAGGATGGTAGCTACTAACAAGATGTTGCGGTGGCGTTCTTACAATCTTTATTTCCTCTGTAGCGGCGAACACAATACACAACCTTAACACTGTTAGGGTGCAACCTGAGCATCTAGCCAATCTCACAGCACTGTAGCCGAACTGAATGTGCCACACACGTTTTACCAACGCCTGGTATTGACGCATTACTACCATATTTTTTAAGAAAGCCGACAGTAGCATGAGCTATTCGATAATTTCTATCTTAATGACTGTTAAAAAATTTGTAAATCATAACCCCTTCCTAATTACTGTTTTGAGATGAGGAAAGATTATAAGTTTGGAAAGTTCGCTATCCATTTTTGAGGACATTGCAAGGTTTGTTACGCGTGTCTAACTGTACACAGTCTTGAACAGTGTCATTGCTGCAATTAGTAAATCTTGCAGTTCTTGCACAATACTGTCTCCAATTTGTTTGGGGCACGTCTCCAGGAATTTCACATTGTACCTTTAAGTGAATGGATTAGTTTTTTTCATGGACATTGTCAAACACTGAGTTCAAAGAATTGCAAGTTGCTTGGCAACAGCTATGGACAAAGAGAAAGATTGAAAATTCCTCACGAGAAAATGTGGAGCAAACAAAAAAAGTCTGGCTTCAGGTGGTTTGCTCTGAACTTGTGCCAGGAGTCTCTTTGGTTTGATCAGCTGCAATTGTGTGACACACCAGCGCAGTCGTGACTGCCTCTACATTATGCCTTTTTTAAGTTTTAACTTGTATTTAAAATTCAAAATGCAAACAATGACTGCTTTTCGACAGGGGTGGGGCTGAAATTGTGTGCACTGCCACTTGACAATGTGTTTTAAAAGGGTTTTTTACAAGAGCATGTGAACTGAGAAATACTATCATGGTTAATAAGTAATGTTAAATGAAAACTAGATAATGAGCCATTATGACACCAAAAAGCAACTAGACTGGACAAAATCAATGTGAGCACAGCAAACAACCAAGAAGAAGCAATAAAAAGAGTCTCTCTGGCTCTGCCAAGTCATTCAGTACTATATGTGCATGATGAAAACCAGGTTAAGGTCATTCCTATATCTAGGTTAAAGTGATGCAGAGGAGGAGCAGCACACAGAGACAGACACTAACGTTACTGCAGCATGCAGTCTGGTCCACTGACCTCTTTTGGATGTCAGGAGAGGAGGGTGCAGTGTCCTGTGTCCTCCCCGTTTTAAAGCCAATCACTGTAATTACAGGCTCTGTTTCTTTTGACCAACAAAAATGAGCCACACACACCACCTAAGCTAACGTTACACTTTCACTGACTATCCCTTCCTACGACTTTTCTTTCCAAAGGAAACTTCAGTTAAAATACATTTCTGCTACGATTTGAGCTATATTTTTTGTTTTAATTAACTCTACCTGTGGGAAGAAGGATGTGTAGCAAAGCGCTGATCCCCCGGAGCTCCTTACGGCCGACTAATTAACGGCTAATAACCGGGATTAGTTTTTAACGACGGAGGCGTAACCGACCGCTACTTCTTCTTCTTTTTGCTTCTTCTTCTTCTTTGTCTTCTTAACCTGGGGGAAGAAATGTGACCGCAGCTGCTGCACCACCGGCAGGCGGGACGTTAGAGAAACAACCGGACTGGGGAAGTAACGGAACGGATGCTCGTGTTAACAGCAGTAATGACGGCGACGGCAGCCTCTAACCGAGATGACATTGAGCTCCTTTTACGCGCCAGCTTTTCCGACTAGCGGTTCCCTCCTCTCTCTCTCTCTCTCTCTCTCTCTCTCTCTCTCTCTCTCTCTCTCTCTCTCTTTTCTTGTAGGCACGCGCGCTGAATAATGCAGGGCTCGCGAGGTCCCGGGAGCGTTTTCTGTCCCGTTCCAGAGACAATCAAAGAGCGAGCCGCCAGCGCAAGCTCCAGCCAAGCACAATGAGGCTGACCCGCGCGGATCAGGTTACCGCCGTACTGCCTTTCATTCAGCTGCAAAACAATCTGACTGCAGCTCAGCCAGCTGCCCCACCATCACCACCGCCCCCTGCTTCTGTACCCCACCTCTCTGTCTCCCCACCTACAGCTCTGCCCTATCTGATATGTGCGCAGGTGGCATTTTCAGAGAAACAAAAACAAACGCAGAACACTCCAGAACCGTTGTTCTAGTGGTAACCAAGTAGTAGAAGCTAGTCTACATTTAATCAAGTACTGTATATTTTAAGCTTACTACTTGGAATAAAAGGCTATTTTTATTTATGCAATGTTCTTTAACGTATCAGTTATAATGTAATGGTAATACAATAATAACACTCAAGAAGCCATTCTGCAATAAGCAAAATAATAAACATATAAATTAATAGGTTTCTAAAGTAATCATCTATAAATAAAAATTACAGAACAGCTTGGCATACGGTGTGCCAAAAATATAGAAATGTATAAATGCACCAAATGGGAATAAAATGGTCACTACAAACTTGAGACTCACTACACTGCATGACCGGATATAACTCCCTGCGGGAATATCATAGCGCTGTATTAAAGCGATACCATCATAATAATAAAATCATAATAAAAATGCCCCAAAAGTAGAGTAAGGTCATATTAAATTTACTGAGTGCCTTAAATGTACAATGGGCACTTGTAAAAACTATCACAGAAACAGTGCAGTGGGACATCTCAGCACACTGAAGACACGAAGAACCACTACACCTGTAGAAAGAAACAACGTTAGTGAAAGACATTCCAACCATGTCTGACAATTGCAGACACATTAACAGGAACCTGTGTGTGGCACAGATTTGTCCCAGTTGAGAAGAATTCACAGTCTCTTGTCCACATTCTCTCAGCACTGTGGTTGTCTTGTTCTTCCATGATTTGTGTGTCACGTCTTTTTTTAAACTCTACTTTTCCTATTGAGGTAGAAGAAAACTTATTGGGACCTTTTTTTCCTGACACATACATGCCGCATACTTGCGGCACTATTTTTGTGAGGACCCATCATTGACATTATGCATTCATGAGCCCTTTACCTTTACCATCACTACTACATGCCAACCCAAACCCTAATCTTAACCTAATTCGAGCCCTGAACCCTTAAATCAAGTCTTAACCCTCAAAACAGCCCTTTAGCATTTCAAAACAGCATTTTGTTCCCCACAAAACTGTCATACCACACAAGTATAGTGGGCTCCCAGTTTTTGGAGCCCACGAATAGTAAAACAAGCCCACACACACACACACACACACACACACACACACACACACACACACACACACACACACACACATAGTCCAGACCATTTCAGTGAATGGCAGCCAAAAAATGAAAAAATGGAAATTGTCACTTGGACACCGGTAACAAATAGTCCCCTCTTTATAGCATAAACGCTTCAGATAACACCCTGTTGTAGCCCCTTACTCTTCTGATGTCAAACCAAACTTTCTGACAAATTTGTGGGGGAATTATGTGTAGAATATTTTGCAGAAACACTTGCCCTGCCCCTAGTTGTAACTTTGTAGTTTTGGACTCAAGTAATCAAACTCTTAGACTTACATAAAAAACACACAGATACAGGCTACTCACCATGGCAGTGTGAGGATGTCTGGTCGGAATGAGAGCTTCATACCCATTTGCTGTTGTCACAGTAACCCCTGGTGTTTGGCAGTAGCCTATGATAAAACAAAATCTGAGTTATTGCTAAACATTGTCATCTTCGTTAATCATCATCTTCTTTCATATTCATGAGGAAAAACAACCCCCCCTTTGGGTTTGTTATGTGGTTTTGAAAGGAGTTTCGTAAACCCCAACAGGATCCTGCAAATGAGGTGAAAACGTAAAAATCCATCAGTCTTCCACGTGCGAATTATTTTAGAATTAAACTAGAGCAACTGTACTTTTGCATGATATAAATAATAAATATATCAAAATCTGTCACCAGCCTTTAGACACCATCAATGCTCCTCATATACTACTACTACTACTACTATACTATTGCCACTACTACAGCTACTACAACAGTTGTAGTTGTAGCACAGTCACAGTGATTAGCAGCAACTCTGGTAGTAGTGGCCAGTGGTGGAAGGTAACTCAAATACTGAACTGTAGGTATGTGTGCTTTGCTTCAATTTCTCCATTTTATGCTACTTTATACTTTAACTCTACTACATACTACATTTCAGAGGCACAATATTGCACTTTTTACTCCATTATATGTATTTGATGGCTATAGTTACGTTCCAGATTAGAACTTTATTTACACATATGTTATCAGTTAATAAAATATATCTGAAACTACATAACATTAAAAAACATGATTGCATGAGTAATAATATATATATGATACATATTCTCCACCTTTGAAATGTCTTTCATCATCCTGTTGTGCACGCTCATTTGAGTGCGTAATATTTATCTACAGTCATGGTTTCTGTTAAAGACTGTCATTGACTTAAGATAAACCAACATGTGGCTTGAACGTTAGTCTTGTTATCAGTTGTCATGACGTCGCTTATATAATAATTTATCACCTTGTATTGTGTCTTCTGGGGAAGTATGTGTCATGTTTGTGCTGCTGGCCTCCCCAGATCATAAGTTCTTGAAAATAGAGTATTAACACCCAAGCCGGCGTCATCCAAGATAGACGCACATGATCAAAGGAAAAATGACATTGTACAACTGCTGCATGCAAAAGGAGTCTCCATAACTTTAATGTTACTGTACTGGTGAAACAGAACACAATCTAACATTTATGTGCTGACATATGTCCATAGAGTATTGTATGTGCACAATTTGTCATATGTGGCTCCTTCCTGAAGTCTCCTTGTGTCATGCATGTGTTTATTGCTTTAGTGCGGTAGGCGTATTGTATTTCTTTGCCAAAACTAGCTTTTTTGTCCTCTCTATTCATTGCTGTGGAGTTCACGTGGTATCAGTAAAGTTGGACGAGTGAGCATGCAGTGAGTTTTTCTGTACTGTTGCATGATTTCTTGCAGAAACTACTATTAATACCAGGGGGGCGCCTCATTGCTCCTGTAAAAATATGGCATGGGGGTATCTAGATTAGTCTAACTATATACTAAATAGTTACAATATATACTATATAGCTATTTACCTACCCATCTTCCTACTTACCTTCCTTCAACACCAGCTAACTCCCTACCTTCCCCTTCCACTCTTATCTATCTTCTTGAACACTACATACTCCTTACTTTCCTATGGCGATACATATATTTTTTTGCAGTGTGTAAACTCACTAGATGCCACAGACTCGGTATGAGTCCCTACAGGAATGTTGCAGTAATATTAGAGCGATTTTTTATGAGCAGTGGCTAGTCATCCTGAAGGAGAGCAATTACAATAAAAGTCTGTACTGCATCCTTTCTAGAAGGATTTAGACTTGATGCCATGTTGCAATGTACCTGTTTTGAGAATTAACCCAAGATTTAGGCTTTAATCTAATTTTCAGTGTTACCCATCAGGCCACATTATCACATTAATCTAAATCTACGATAAAAAATTTAAATATTTCATTGCATATCTAACAGTTTTCTGCATTCCATTTAATATAGCTGGTTTTCAAGACAAAACTAATACTAAACATTCACAGAGGTACTCACCGAATCAAAGCAGTGACTACATAAACCTGGCTCTGATGTTCAACTGACTTTGGGGATTTAGTCTTGCTCTGATTTGTGTGTTGGCTTGCCTGGGTTAAAGAAATAACCCTAAAAAGTTGTACTTATTATATTGGGTATAAACAGAACATACTGTATGAGAAATAAGTTGTACAACCTGAGCTTAGTTTGTGTATTTTTGTTGCAACAACGGCCTTCTCATTTAAAGTGATTGATTACCTTACCTGATTGTATTTCTTTTAAATCTTGTGTGTTTTGGTGAGTCTATGAGGGCATAACACACTGCATGCATGTAAAACCTGTCTGAACTAACAAAGGCGCTAGTAAACCCTTATGTGAATGAAAAATCTCTCTTAAAATGTAAAATGTATAGTGTGGTGTGTGTGTTTTGTTAGTGGCAGTGGGTTTTACAACAGATAGGGGTGCAGTAAGGATAGCTTGTGATCTCTTTGTCAGCAGCCAATGAAAAAATGAATGTTAGAGACAGATGGAAAGAACAACAAGCAAGAGACCACAGGAGGGCACTGGAGAAACTCAGCTTTATTGACCAAAGATAGAGAGAGGATACAGACATCAGAGAGAGAGAGAGAGAGCATGAGAGAGCATGAGAGAGAGAGAGAGAGAGAGAGAGAGAGAGAGAGAATGCGACAGAGTGAGTTGTCATAACCATAGAAAGAGAGAGAAGTCTGAACAATAGAAAATGGCTCCTTCTTGTTTTAACAGTCCATACAACTATGAGAGCAGGCAGAGAAGAGAAAGAGAGACTCCTACAGAGTCAGAGGAGTACTGCAGGCGTGGCAGTGGGGCTGGTAAACTCAACAAATCTGTTGTTCGTGTACAGCTCCTTGCATTACATCAAAAACAACACACACACACACACACTAACCCAAACAGGCAAACCGGATTGGTCAGGCTCCACTTGAACTTGTACAACTTGAACCGAGCCTTACTCTTTTCTTCTTTTTTAAAAACAAAAATGTTTTTTGAGACTACAATTGCATTTCCTCTTGTAGGTACATACAATGAGTGCTTCTTTGCTCTGTGGCATCATGTGTGTCATGTGCGTTACACCTTGGGGAAAACTAACACTACATGTGAAAAGCCTCCTCAAACAGTCATGCAATGAATATGTTTTGGCCAATCTGGGACACTGAACAGCGTGATAGTGTTAGTAATTGTTCCCAGCCTAGATGAGCCTTGTAGCCTGTTTGCTGGAAATAAAAGTAAAACAGGAAAATAACTGTGACATAACTGCTCAGAAGAACCATCTTGGGTTTTTTCCCCCCATGAGATCCATTGTGGTAAAAAAAAAAAAAAAAGAATAAACATAGATGTGGTGAACAGAATAATGTGTTGTAGCATCTTTTCACGGTAAGATTGTTTTTTTTCCTATTGAATTTTAACCTTTACAAGCTTTGATTAAAAAAACTTGTAATGGATTCTTGTGGTGGATTATCTGTCTCAAACAAATCAAGGAGATTTGAATGGAAATCCAATGGCTGCTTAGAGGGAATCAATATAAAAACTTCTGTTATGCTTTTGAAAGTAATATAAATTCAAAATGATTGTAGTTAAGAGGCTACCATGCAAATTCACTGGTATGGTTATTTAAGCTCCTGCCTCTGCACAATGTTTTAAGATCCTCAGATGCCTTCGAGGCCAACTGTAACACGTAGTCGCCACCAGTTCAGTGGTGATGGCCAGAAAAGGGGAAAAACGTTGTGTGGGGTTAATAGTGAGATTACACACAGCAAAGCAGTGAAGTTAGAGAGTGGAAATATAATATAAGCTTGTGTTTGTGCACTCATACAGTCGTGATATGGCATCGTGGGACATCGGAACAATGTCTAGTACCCATAGTAATCAGAATTATCTCTAGATCTCTATATAGATGTGGAAAATAAAATCATCACTAAATAGAATATAGAGCATATTTACATTCTTTATCTACACAGGAAACCAGACCCGATGGGCTGGGTGGTGGCTAATCACACAGCCAGTTGGACTGACTGACAGCAGCAGTGGCCAATCACACTAAAGCATGTATATTTGAAGGCCGACCCACAGTTCTGACAGTGCTGACAGGACAGTTGAGAGGTGGGATTGTGTAGCTGTGCACAGAGCCATGTAAGGAAATAGTTGATTTTCCCAAAGACTTTTCAATGCTGGAAATGCAATGCTTTTTGTTGACAAGGAATATTGTTTCTGTCTTTCATTATTTTTATGACTATTATCAGAGTTAGTACACAGTGCAGGGATGTTATGTTGGCCATGGCCAGGACCCAGTAAAGCAGTTGAACAAAAGAAGAGAAAGAAAGAAAAAGTACTGCATTCTGAGAAAAGGTTGGTGATGCTCCTCAGGTCAGTCTCGGTTAGTGAAGTGTTCATTTTCTTCCATGCAAATAAAAACATTTTGATGTCATGATATCATATTAAGACCCAGATTCGATTGTAACCAAAGGACATCACGGCCACTCGATACACACCATAGCCACAAAAACACCCCAAATTCACATTATTTGGATCTGAAGAGCCTCCCTAACCTCTCTGTGAATGCGCTTTCTTCAATGACATATCTGGCCCATAAAACTTCTCACTCTAACAATGGGTATTTTTGTCTGTAGCATACAATGGCAAAGTGCATAGTCGCTAACTCTCCAAATATTAATTCACCAGATGCCTATTGAGCATCACCATACTCTCTGTTCCATGTAACATCAAAGACACTTGAAACGGAGCAAACATCTTTCCACAGCGTGCATTATCATTCAACAGAAGGGGGATGATTGCCGCTTTTGAGAGTTTTTCTGAAAACCAGCCAAGTAAATTTCCTACACTTTAATATATATGATGTTATAATGACACCCAGGCCACACTATTTGTAGCACCCTTGTAAACGAGGGCCTGGCTGGTGACTACAGAGCTGGCAGTGTTTTCAGTCTCTTTGAATTGTAAAGAGTATAGTGGATCTCTGGTGCAGCTATGACATGAATTTATTGAACAAAAAGATGAACACGTATTGCACATAATGTTGCTCTAAAAGCTCATTTGAACACACCTGTCACAGTTGAAATTTAGTAATGTGGTAGCGCTTGTTAATCATTATAAAAAACTTTGTGCCCAGGCTGTTAGTGGTAACCCATGTTTGTTTTCATAGGTGGAAATACGTGTTCCTTTGCTGCCAGAGTGTACTCATTAAGCTGCCGTTAGCTTCCTGTGCGCTATAGGAAAGGTTGGCTGTAAAGATCCTACTGGCTGCCAAAAGGTGTTCCACGGCTTCTTATTGGCTGCTGAGTTACGAAGTATTAGAATAGGAGGAAATGACCTCAGCAGTGGAATAGCTGGAGTTAGTGGACAAAACAACAGAGAGAGAGAGAAAGAGAGAGATGAGGAGAGAGACAGAGTCCTGTTACTACTAACTACAGTGTCAAAAACCTCAGTTTGCCATGGAAACAGGCATCGCAACAATTCAATGGCCTTTTAAATTTCAAAACAAAAGGAAAAAAATGTTCAGATAACAACAGCAAACTGAAATAAAAGTCTAAAAGAACTTCTAATTATATCTATTTTTTTTTGCTAGGACTATCAATATGGAAGAATGAAGAGGCACATAAAGAAACCAAGGCAACAAGTACCCTCCTCTCCACCCTGGTCAGAGAGAGGCTGTACGAGTAAAGAGGGTGGGTTGTTTGAGTTTGTAGTTTGGATGTGTAGTTGTTTATGTGAGTTTGTGTATGTTTGGAGACAACAGGAGAGAATCTGTAGAGCAGGGGGTTGAGAGAAAAGAAAGTGGAAAGTGACTGAATAGAGAAACTGAGATTTTGTCTGTCTTTAAGAAAGTTTTATAAACTGGCTTATTAAAGGCGATGATCTGGTTGATTGTCCTTAGAGCCAGACATACTGTTTGGTTAGACAGCATGGCAATTGACCTCTGAGAGTAGTTTTATATAACCTGGTTTAAGCTGTTTGTTGACAAACATCATTTTTCTCCAGCTGTATGTCTGTGCCATTATCATAGCAGCAAGACAGCTTCATTCCTGCTTAATTTGAATTTGTGAAATATACTGTGTTGTCTGAGGTGACAGGAGGAAAAAGGCAGACTCCATGTTGACAGAGACAGTAACCAAAAAGCAGAGATGTAGGGGTAATAACATAACTGAGTAAAAAGTCAAAGGTTAGACAAGAGCATGTGTGTGTGCGTGTGTGTGCTGGCCGATCAGAGTCCAGAGGAGGACGAGGAAGGCAGGGCTTCTGTTAGTAACCATCCAGAGACAGAGGGGAAGAGAGGGGTGTTGTGGGTAATGATAAAAGGGTGGAAGAGGGAGAAGATTCAGTCACATGAGGATGCAGCACTCGCAGCGTTTCCTCTTGTCTGTACCTGTGGCAGGGGTGAGGCCGGGCGGGGGGACCGTGTTGGCGTCGGGATTCACGGGGGGCGAAGAGGCGCTGTCAGGCTCACGGCCGTCAGATGACAGTTCCGTGCTGGCGGCCTCAGATGTGGCCGGCCTCCCTGACACGAGGTCAGCTGCTGTGCCGTCGATGATGGACAGGTCAGTGACCGTCTTCTCCCTCAGAGATTTCTCATCGTCTTCGTCGATCAGGACCACCTCAGCCTTCACGGCACCATCAAAACCTAGCAGCCGCCTGCTCTCGCTCGTATCCTCAACGTCCTGGTAGCCAAGGAACACCATGGTGACTGGGTGTTCCGCACTGGCTTGGGGTAGGGAGGTGAGCTCGGCACCTGGGTGGGCTGAGGTGCCGGGCTGGGTTGTAATAGGAGCAGAGGGTGGCATCATGCCAAGCTGGGGCTCCCTCTGGAGGGTGACCTGGGCTGGTGGGCTTGAAGGGATGGATGGCGGGGCACAGGAGGGCGGAGACAGATCATCAATATCTGTTGGGGAAACATAGGCCTGAGGGGCACCTGGGGTCACTGTCACCTGACACCTGCTGCCATCTCCTCCTTGAACGACAGGTCTGGCAGCTCGCTGGATCAGCTGGTCAACCTGTGCAGAGCTCCAACCGTTCTCCACGGTGGTGGTGGACACGCCCCCAGAGGAAGTGACCTCATAGACCACTTTTCTGCCATCATCGTAGACTTTGATACCGCGCGACGCCGCATCCAGCGGGCTCACGCGGTTGGCTGACAGGATGCGCTGCTCGCCGGTCTGTGGGTCATTCTGTACGTTGATCTCCATGGCAAACATTGCTGTTAGGAAGGGAGGGAGGGGTGGATGAGTGAATGGGAGGAGAGACAGGGAGGAGGGAGGGGTTGATGCAGAGGGGAATGGGGTTTGGAGGAAAAGTGAAGGGGTGGGGAGGGACCAGTGGAGGAGGTGGGGGTATTGGGAGGAAAAGGTGGAGGGAGTAAAGCGTGAGGGTGGGGACACAGTGTTCTCTGAAAAACTGATATCTGCAATATGAGTTTCTCATTCAAACTGAAATATATGCTATTAGTAAAACACAAAACATTAACTTAACCTCATCCTGCAAACCACAGATGCAGAGACAGCCTTTCCTTCACCGTGCTTAATCCATGTGTGGACAAGTACTGACGTTAAAAAATACACGTCTACTTTACCTTTAGTCCTCAAACGGGGGACTTCATGTAGTGATTAGCCTATATAAACACATTTGCTATTGCAGTAAAGCATATTCAGTAAATATTAAGTTTAAAGATTGAAAAAAGAATAATCATACCTGCAGTTTAGTTCTGTTCTTACACTATTTTGCTGTAAAAGCTTTATCTTACTGCAGATGAATCATCCACACTGCTATCTAACTTTATCACACTGCCCCACTGCAAAGTTATCAACACTAAATACAGTGAAACAAACATGTAACAAATGAACTTAACAAGAGCCAAAACACTATTGCTTAACTTTTTTCCATTAACGAGAGAAACCATATTGATATTACTGAGAGTAAAGACTAAAACTAATACAATTATTAAGAGTAAAACTACTACTAATCCTAAATCCACTAATACCAAAGCTAAAGCTAATAGCAGTAAACCTACTGCTGAAATACAGCCGAGTTGTACTATTACATAAAAATGAATGCACTAATGCAACTAAGTCTCAGACTAAAACAAAAAAATATGATGATACTATAACAGAGTCTAAAATGCCATTAAACTGTCTCTAATACCAATATGATTTCAGTACTGCTACTACTACTAATAAGAATATACTTAATATGATACTTAAACTGATGTTGATCTTAATAATTTTGTATTTTGCTAATAAAAGTAATTGATTTAAATTCTACAGTCTACAATGTAGTCCTATCAAAAGTTATTACTAACTTGACCTTGGAGACAGCACTGATCCAGTGCCTGATGTCAGTGTGCTTTCAGTATATGTGTATGCCATTATGAATTTATGACAGGAGACATGAATGTGCAACTGTTCATATGTCATTTGACTCAATTTGTCCAAACGTGTGCGTATCTGTGCCTGTCCAGCCTCCACGTGCGCGTGAGTTTGTCCTGGTTATAATCCAACTTGGCTGCAGCCCAAAACTTTCCTGTCCTCCCTTCCTCCCTCCCTCCCTCCCTCCCTCTCTCTTCTCTCCCCTCCCTCGCCCTCCTCTCCACCCTCTGTCTTACCAGGTCTTGGTATGGCGTGCTCTCCAAGCGCAGGTGGGCCGGTCCGGGGCTGCGGGGCCAGGATGTGGTGGTCGGGATCGGGGTCCGTGCAGTCCGATAGATGGGCGGACATGCAGCCGGTGGCATCTAGTCAGCAGGAGCACAGGAGGGGAAATGACACATGGTCAGAGGGACGTTAGAGGCCGTGAGGGAGAGCCACGAGCACACGCCCAAGCACACACACCAGGCACATGCCAATACACACACATGCACGCTGAGTACACACACATTACACACACCTCAGTTATGTGTAACCACACCCTGGCACAAAAATACACACACGCACATACAGTCCAGCCCCCCTACAGAGAAACTAACCACACCCCTGAGTGACCCTACCCGTCCAAACACATGCACACACTAACGCACAACACACACACACCATCTAACTCCCTTCAGCTCTCTGTTTCTGTGTCCACGGCAACTCTAGCACCCCTGAGGTTCAGTGCTTATGCAGCAGAAGCGTGTGCGTGTTTTTGTATATTTGTTACTGCCGAGTGTGTGTGTGTATGTGTGTGTTTGCGATAGCAGGAACAAAGCTTTAGGGGCTTACAGGGCTTGTTGGTGAATAGAGGGGGATAAAGCCAGCGACTGCAGGCTGCAGAGTCATGGCCTTGTGTGTGTGTGCTTCAATAGTCTCGCTGAGCCGGGTTCTGTGTGTGTGTGTGTTTGTGTGCAGGTATATAAATGTCTATGTGTACGTGTCTGTGGGTATGCGTGACTGTGTGTTTAGGGGTTCAAGAGCGTGCCCTGGCCTGCATCTCTCCTACCTCAGCGAGACTATTATTCCCCCCCCACACACACACACACAAAAACACACAAACACACAAACACAGGAATAGAAAGAGAGAGACCCCACTGCTAGGATACAACAATAACTCAGGGGAGGACACCATCTCATTGATGTGTGTTAGTGTGTTTTTGGTGTGTGTATGTGTGTGTGTCATCGCTCACACCTCCATCCTGGGTCATCAGACTCTGAAAGAGAGAGCGAGAGAAAATCCACATGAGCAATAGAAGAGTGATATATTTTTTTGAGTTTTTGAAAAAAAATCATAATTGAAGGCTTTATATAATAAAAATAATTAATACTTTTAACAAAGTAGGCTATAGTGTAATAGATTTTCTAATGAGATCATATTTAATAGCTTTTCTCCACATAAAGCATTTTAACAACAACATTCTGGTCTGTCTTTTCTTGTCACTATCATCCCGTTATTTCAGAAAAAGCCAGATTAGATTCTGTATCCTGTCGCTACTTTAAAAACAAGCAGTTCATTTCAATAAGAGTTCACACAAGGTTCTAGACAGTTCATGTTCTTATACCTTCTGCAGGTCTTCTATTGAGCGCTCCGTCTCTTTCAGACGCTCCCGTAGAACCTGCTCTTTGGCTGATATCTGAGACTCTTCACTCTCAAGTGCACCAATTTCAGACTCCAGCCTGGAAACACAAAAATAACATATAGAAGACATTTTTTGTCATGATTTTCCAAATACCATGTTCAAGTTGAAGAATCAAGTTTGCTGCCCTGTACAGGATTATGTTGTCTGGAAAACAGAGTTTGAAGGTCATTATTAGGAATAAAGTCATTGTGAGAATGCGGATTTGACTTTAGATTGCTTGCCAATACAAGTTAACCACATTACATTAACTTTTTTTTAAATTAGCCACATTTACAGTTAACTAGTCTGAAAACCAGTTACTATTTCTTGTAAGTAAAAATGCAAAACGTACTTCATTTACACTGTACTGTACGGTATCTGTTTAAAATGTGCTTTACACCAGCTGGTTTTGGCCATCAGATTTCAGTCTGTCGTCAGTGCATCCTGGGTGCCTTTACACCAGCCTTTGATTATTCTGATCTAGATATAATCCAGATACTCCAAACACATGAAATGACTAGACAGAGATTGGGGATCAGTAAAAATGTGCAGCTATCTGGCCAAGAGCTTTTCCTGATGGACAAATCTCTACATCCTCCTCTATAGTCTAATAGTCAGTTGGGCACCATGGCTCATCATGTCCAGAATGACATCCGCTGTTTAATGCAAAAACAAATGTTTTTATAGGTTATAAAACATAAATCCCATTTTAACATAATTATTGCCATAGTTATGCAGTTTATCCTGATTGAGTTGTTGGTTGAGATTATTCTGACACCAAGGCTGAGGAATGACATGACCCACACAGGATATCCTGCGCTGCTAATCCTATTTGCAGAAGGTGTGAGAATCAGTGTCTTGTCTTTATTATTGTAATGAATGTAAGAAATCCCCTAAATCCTGATCTGCATTTTGAGTGTGATTTCATGTAGTCAGGCCATGTAACAGTATGTAACAGTATGATAGATACAACAATTTCTCACGTTCATCATTGCCTTCCAAAATATCTCATAATGCGGTTTCAAAAGTGACTATTATATATATAAATATAATATAAGCGGCTTTCTGATCTGCTGCCCATGGTCCAGGTGAAGATCTGGTTAGGTTTGGGCAACTAAAATTAATTGGTTATGGTTATGAAAAGATCACATTCATGGTAAAAAGATGTTAAACTGATCAGTAGAAGACCGAAGGCAGCATGGCCTCCACTGTCATAGACTTTTTACACTCTACGATCTACCAACCTTTTCCCAAAGAAGCTGTTTCTAATCTTAGTACAAAGAGACTCTTAGAAATGTCAGTTCAACCAATTCTGGTTGCCATGTTTTTCTGGTTAGGACACACTCAATACGTCAGTAACACTCCTAAAATTGCATGTCTAATAGACCTATATACATATACACGCTCACATACATGCATGCTCACAAGGACATCTAGGAGATGGATGTAGCCACAATACTAGGAAGCAGTCAGGGAGGAGGACCTGGGTTGCTTCCTTACTCACTTACTGCCAGCACTCACAACACTTCAGAATACACTCCTCTGGGACACTGGAATTTGTGCGTCATTGTGCTCATGTTTGTGTAAAATAGATTAAGGTTCATAACAAAGCCATAAACTGTGGCTCTTCCCACAGTATTCCAGAATCAATAGGGCTCAACCATCATATCAGCATTAGTGACCATGAACGAGCACTAGTACACACTGTACTAACTTTACTGTTTACATTTGAATGACATTTTATCTGAAGCAGTTTACAGATGTACGAATGCCCAGGCTTTTAGCGTGAATAGGTCAAGAGTTTTTCAAATAACAACAGTGAACAGGGAGGATATTTTAGGATTTTTTGGCACTAACAAAATCAAGAATTGTGTCTTTAATGTTCTCCAGAAAACGTGGTGCCTTGGCTCTGACCACTGAGGTTTAATGAAACAATTCCCCACAGTTGGCATTCATCAGTTCACCATCTGCCAAAGTTTCTACTCAAGTTCATCTTCAGCCGTGTGATGTTTGTGTTATACAGCTACCTGAAGACTGTACTCTGGCACTAGATAGCTTTATAACTGTGAGGACCAAATGCCCTTCTTCGTTGGTATATACATACCCTCAGCAACCTTAGCCAGTTGGTATATCACATTAACATTTAACCCTTTTTTTAAAATCAGGTAATCGCATTGAGATCAATATCTCTTTTGCAAGAGAGTATGCCTACAGCAGAGCAGTAAACACACATACTGCAGAAGCTGTGGTGTATTGTGTTGGTGCAGCAGTGGAGTGGAGTTGTTCTGCAAGTAAAGCTGTTGTTGACTGCATCTGTCACACAAATCTGCAGTTTGTCTCTGCTGAATGAAACCACACAGTACTTCAGATGTGAAATCTCGTTTACTTCTGAAAACTGAACAAAGCATAAATTGGCTTTATGTAAGTGTGCCCTGAAGCCATTGTCTGGATCGAAATAATCAGTACAGTTCGGGGTCATTCAGTGTGACTTGAAATTGGACGAATCAAAGATCTATGTATTAAAAAAACAACAGTGTATTGTCTCTTTTTACGGAAAGGATGTAACAAATATAGCAACATGCATGAAAGCTATTTAAACACCACTGTCAATATTGAGGAGAGCCAGAGTCTTATCAGAGAGTATTGTCCATTATAATGCAGCACAACTGGCCCATGATGGACTAAACTTGAAAGCAACATGTCTGCTTAATCATTTATTTTGTTTATACCTATACTGTAGCATGTAGCATATTGTGGGTGGCATTAAGTAGGTGAAAGTGTGTTATTACAAACCATGATACTTATGCTGTTCCTTTCAGCACTCTTACCTTTTCTTGAGTAGTTTTCAAGCAACTATATATATATATATTTTCCATTTTATGGTCTAGAAGTCTTGACGGTGGTTATTTATAAATACAGTAATGCTGGACTGTATTAACTTTAGCCTTGCTGATATGAGAAACAATCACCAAACCTTGGACTGAGTTACAAGGACTAACGCACTACAATGATGTACGTGGACTACTCCCTATACCTGGACCTCTAAACACATCAAACTGATGGGTCTTTCAGATTTTCGAGCAACCAATGTTGGACACCTTTCAGGCCTCAAAGATGCAGGGCATGCTAACAGGACTGTGTGGAAGTGAAGTGGAAGTTGTACTTGACTCCATGAAGCTGACAAAATGTGAAATTGTGAGGTGTCTTACTTTACTTGTCATAATTTTGATGATGCTACTAGCTAATTAATCTTTCAGCAAAAACAAAAATCACCCCAATCCGCTTGTATGGTGTATCAGTAGAAAATAGGAAACAAAACTCGAGATGTAATGCAATTATTAACACTAATAACAAGTACTGAAAGTTGTCTATGAACCAACTGTAACAGCAAGTCTGGCAAAACTCTGCAGTCTGCCATTACTAGTATGGACGGGCTAACAGGCTAACAAACACTGAGTCTACTGCCTGTTTAATCAATATGTCCTGTTATTCTTATTACTGTGCTCTGATTAACACAATCAGAAAAGTAAAAAAGTGCTTAAATGACAATGATATGTAGACCAACTAACATTACTGCATACTTTCATACAGATACAGGTGGTGGGATAAGACTATGCATCTTCCAGATCTTATACTGTCAAACAGGACACCAGTAGCCTAAATAACAAAATACATTCTGTCCCAACGTAATTAAGGCAAAGTAAACCACAATTCAAATTCAAAGTCAAACACAGAACTCAACAAAATACTCTTAAACTTTTAGATTCTGTAGTTCACTGGAACTGAGCCATGGAGACCACCAAATGCTGATTTGGACCACTAACACACAAACTGTACAGTGTGTCCATCGGGTTGGAGATGAAAACTTCCATGTGTCTTGTTGTACCCTCTCCTACGTATTTTCTCTCTGTAGCAGATGTTTGTACACAGTTACCTCTCGTGTGGCCACTCTTTCCTTCTCCTCCGTATCTCATTTCCCTTTTTCCTATTATGGTGGTGAATGGCTTTTACTTCTGCTTCTTGTAAGCTGCATGAGGTCTTTCCAAAATTGGGCAAGAAGAAACAAGATTTATTGATTGTTGCAGGTTTCTCATCCTACTACATCACTGCAACTTGAAGCACTGTAAATATATAAATAAATAAATCCTTGTAAGTTGCTTATAAAACTAGGAGAAAATTGTCTTATCATAAATACATTTTTGATCTAATCTAAATCCTCCTCTGTGAGTATGACCCCAAATGAAAATCCACTCTACTATCACTGCTATACTCCAGTAGAGACTCCAACTGTGTCTGTGGTAACTAATAAGTTTCTCCACTGTAAAAAATATTGAGTAGGTAAGATGGTATGTAGGACATGTAGGTAGTACATGGATATGGAGAAGGATGGGAAGGAAGGTTGGAACTAGGTGAGTATGAAAGGAGGAAGGCAAATTGTTGAGCATCCATATGTCAGAATGCAATCCACTAAAACACCACAGCAAACTTCAACCTAAATTCTTAATTTGGATCAATACTTCCCTCAATGATGCTTCACAAAGGCTACATTTCTTACGAGTCTATTAGACCGGATTAATTCACTGTGTCTTTGACTGTGTCAGTGCAAAGAGAAACCTCAAGGTTGTGTCTGGCGTCCTCTAGTGATCAAACATGACCAACCCTGTGAGCGCAGAAAGGGAAGAATTAACATGATGGACGGATTGTTTCATGACCCTTACTATTAAACTAGTATTTCCCGCCTTCACCTCCCTTTAATTATCACTAATCCTGCAATGTGTTGTGTTAAGAGGTAAAGAATGAAGTGGTCATTGTTCGGTTTAGAGGTTTGTTACACTGGTTACTACTTGTGAGGGGATAAATGAATTATGAATGAAGTCTATAAATCTGCCAGAAGGATAACATATTATTAGAGGTCCCACTTATTTTTAGATCATGCAGTGCGTACAGTATTTCATAATGAAATACTATAAAGTATAAACAAATATGTATTTAAAAATGTGCAAAAGAGAAGTCTAGACTTGCAAAACAAGACATCTATCTAATACCTAATCAACTTAA